AATTTTTTTAATATTGACTTTTACAGAAATAGTAAAGTTAAGATAATTTATTATTTTAATTAATTTCGAAAATCTATAAATTTTAAAATTAACTTATGTATATTGTTTTACTTTTTTAAGTTTCCTTTATACATATTTATTGTTATTATTTTTATTTAGTAACATTAACATTTTTAAAAATAACAAATCAAAAAACTTAAGATAATTTGTTATTTTAATTTTAAAATTAAATTATGTATAATGTTTTAGTTATTAAGTTTCCCTTATGCATATTTTCTTTAGTAACATTAACATTTTTAAAAATAAAAAATAAAAAAAACTTATGTGTCATGATATGATTTGAGGAATTAAATTCTACGTGGACGCCGTCATGGCTTATAGCCTCAACTTTTATATAGTATAGATAATATCTGATTAAATTTTGTCATATTTTTTGATCAATAAGTAATAACTCAAAACTCATTAGCAAACCAGCCTTATTGATGTTAGAACTTCAATCTTATTAAAACATTTTCTAAGATCATCGAAAACCAAAGAAGAAGTCAAAGCAACCATTGTATCAATATCTCTTTTCTATTTCCAATATCTCTCTGTTTCTCAACATATATTTTGAAAACTTTTAGAACTTTAGACAATTATTTAGAGTCACTCAATACTTCATATATTATAAAATTTTTATGTTAATATACAAACATTTAGAAACCCTAACATTAAAATTTGGAAATCTTGACATTTTACAAATTAATAATTTATATTAATAATCTGCTTTATTCTATTTTATGTTAATATACAAAACTTTGGAAATCTAGACATTTAAATTTGGAAATCTTGACAATTTAAAAATTAATAATTTGATTTATTCCATTTTATGTTAATATAGAGAAATTTGGAAATCCTATCATTTAAATTTGGAAATATTAACATTTTAAAACTAATAATTTATATTAATAACCTAATTTATTAGATAATATACTTTTTAATTAAACTAATTTGGAAACAATGATATTTAAAAAAAAAATATTTTATTTTGTAAGATTATTTTGTTACTTTTACTCTTTTACTATTAGATTATTATTTTATATTTGTATAAAATATACTTTATATTTAGTATATCTAAAAAGACAATAATGTTTTGTAAATATTTTTTTCAATTTTTTTATAACAGTTAATTTTTTTAAATAAGTTGTAAAAATTTGAATATTTATTTTTTAGTTACTTATATATGGAATATTAATTTTGTTTTTAATATAATTTGGAAACATTAACATTTTCTAAAAATAATACTTTACATTTAGTATATCTAAAAAGACAATAATGTTTTGTTAATACTACGTTTTTATTTTTGATTTTCCATTTTTATAATAGTTAACATTTTTATGTAATTTGTAAAATGTTAATATTTATTTTGTTATTTAAATTATATATGGAATATTAATTTCATTTTAATTATAATTTGGAAACAGTGACATTTTATAAAAATAATAAACTAATATAATGATGTGTCATTATACGATTGAAGAACTTAAATCCTATGTGGACGCCTTCAATGGCTTATAGCCTCAACTTTTATATAGTATAGACTAGATTTTATACTCGCGCTACGCGCGAGTCTGTATTAATAATTTAAAATAATTTAAAACAAAAAATTAATTGAGTAATATAATTTTCTTATTTAAAATATAATTTTTAATTTAGTATTTATGTTTTCTTATAATTATTTTATCTTATTAGCTATTTAGTTATTTGTATTTGTAAAAATAATAATTATGTTTGTAAACATATTCATAATTATTGGAAATATTAATTTATATATTAAAATATTAAATAGATTTCTCAATGCATGTAAATTGTTAGCACATTATAATATTTCATCATACATTTTTATATTTTTTGACAAAATAAATTATTAAACTTCAGCATAATATATAATTTTCTTTGTACTTAGAAAATATAATTTATTATTTTCTCTTTAAGTTGTATAAAATTTTAATATTTAAATAAGTAATATTTTGATTTTTTTGTATATGTAATGAATAACTGTATTTATTAACATATTTATATAGTAAAGATTTTTGTTACCATTCACCTTTTTAGAAATAACAAAATTAAGATAGTCATTTGCCAAATGCTTTTGATATTTACTTTATGTTAATTTTTAAAATTATTTTATATACTTAGTTAACTACCTCACTTATATATGATTTTTTTTTTACTTTTGTAATTTTATCAAATTTTGATACTGATTTACATTTTATTTTGAAATAGATCATTTTTGTTAATATTGACTTTTACTAAGAAATATCAGGATTAAGATAATTAGTTATTGTAATGTTAATTTCACAAATCTGTAATATAGTAAAGTTAACTTATATATAATGTTTTTACTTTTGTAACTTTACCTGATACATATTTAAATTTTATTTTGAAACTATTGTTTTGGCAACATTAACATTTTTAAAATAACAAATAAACAAATTATGTATCATGATATGATTGTTTTATTTAAATTCTGTGTGAAAGTTTTCAATGGCTTGTAACCTCAATGATTGTTTTATTTTATATGATTGTTAATATATATATATATATATATATATATATATTTTATTTTTTTACTATTTATTTTTCAAAGAAATAGCAAAATTAAGATAATTATTTGACTAATTATTTTTGTCAATTATTTTAAGTTATTTTCGAAATTATTTTATAAATTAAGTTAACTTATATATGATGTTTTATTTTTGTAAGTTTTTCATATTTGATATTGATTTATATTTTGTTTTGAAATTAATAATTTTTTTAATATTGTTTTTTACAGAAATAGTAAAGTTAAGATAATTTGTTATTTTAATTAATTTCGAAAATCTATAAATGTTAAATTTAACTTATATATAGTGTTTGCTTTTTTAACTTTCCCTTATACATATTTATTATTATTATTATTATTTATTTAGTAACATTAACATTTTTAAAAATAACAAATCAAAAAACTTATGTGTCATGATATGATTGAAAGACTTAAATCCTATGTGGTTGTTATAGTCATATTGACCTTTTCAGAAATATTAAAATTAAGAGAATTTGTTATTTTAATGTTAAAACTAAATTATATACAATGTTTTAGTTATTTAAGTTT